TGACACCCAAATCACATGAATAATTTTTCTTGATGTTTTTGAGACATTCAACCAAGTAACAAGAAGTTTCTCTTTTTAAAAAAATTTTGTACATTTTTCTTTTAGCCACCTATATACATATAAGGTTAACTAATCTTTTAACATTACCTTTATTTCAGAGTTTGGCAAAAATTGTGTGATTCTGTCACAGACAGGAATCAGATGTTTCTTCCTGTCTTGGGAGAAAATTCCAGAGACCCACAGCTTCAATACACTTTCAGAATTTGTACAAGTTAAAATGAAGGTAGACTAGTGCAAAGATAGTTGTATACATCCCAAAACCAGGGCTTTAAAACCCTTTTACTGTGTGAACATGTTTGAGTCTTCTTGCCTTGAGCATTTCCTCACAATGGCTTGGAGACTGGAGCATTTTAACAGTCTTCAAGGTTTACCCCTAATTCCCTAAGCAGACCTGGCCATATGTCAATCAAAACTGAAACTGAAGGAAAGGTATCAGGGTAACCTGTTTATTCTAGGGATATATGGTATATGTGAATCACTCACAGTTCTGTAGGGGCTCTACCCATGCTTGTTGGGTCTTGTTTCTATGAAAACACCTTTAGGTGACTGCTGCTATATTCCAGGGAGACCCACAGGAAAAATCTGTGATGTTTTTGGAGAAATTTATAGGCTTTTTCTTCATGGCTACCTTGAATCTTGTAACTGATCATGCAGTTATACTGAATTGATGTCTGAGAATCTGAGAACTGATTTGTGATCTGCTTTAAACATAGCACAGGACTTATACAATCCTGCAAACTAACTTCACTTCAGCTTAATTTTATTGCCCTATCCGGATTCTTCCTTTGCTTTTTTTTTTTTTTCGGTACGCGGGCCTCTCACTGTTGTGGCCTCTCCCGCTGCGGAGCACAGGCTCAGGATGCGCAGGCTCAGTGGTCATGGCTCACAGGCCCAGCCGCTCCGCGGCATGTGGGATCCTCCCAGACCGGGGCACGAACCCGTGTCCCCTGCATCGGCAGGCGGACTTTCAACCACTGCGCCACCAGGGAAGCCCCTTCCTTTGCTTTAATTGCTTTATCTAATCCTGCTCCATGTCATATATAATACTATAAATAATGCATATACTATATAAAGAAATGTGTACACTGTAAAATAGTATGTATTTTTTCAGCCACCACAAATCCCTTTCATAAGGAAAAATTTAAGCAAACAAATAATAGAGGAATGAATTGTGTCCCCACTTGGTGGTGTTTTGCCCTTTAATTTGTCTTTTTATTGATTGTTCTTTTCTAATACGATGTTGACCTTCTCCAAATAAGATGTTGGAGTTCCTCAAAAAGGAGTGGGCAAAATGGATGAAGGTGGTCAAAAGGTTCAAATTTCCAGTTCTAAAATAAGTCCTGGTAATATAACATCCAGCATGGTGACTATAGTTAATAATACTGTATTGTATATTTGAGAGTTAGGTCTAAGAGAGTAGATCTTAAATGTTCTCATCATAAGAAAAAAAAAATGGTAACTTTGTGTGGTGATGGATTAACTGTGCTGATCATTTTGCTATAGATAACATATGGAATCATTATGTTGTACACCTGAAACTAATACTTTACATGTCAATTTGCCTCAGTTAAAAAAATAAAAGCTAAAAATTTTTAAAAAATGAGTCGTTCTTATCTCCAAGGATACTCTCTGCCTGATGGCCTAGTTTTTTCACTTTGCTTGTGTATTCTGGCCTCTATGTTCTCCAGCCAGTCAACCCCCCTTCTCTCCCCAGCCCCAGACAACACTCAGCAGCCCTTAACAATACCTGGCCCACCAGGGAGTTGAACCTACAGCACAGTCTGCATTCAAAGCCCTTGGTACAGCCTCGTACCCCTAGGACATGGCAAATTGTATAACTATGCACGCTCTGCTTTGTCTCAGGGAAGCTGACAGGCCTATATGGAAAACATCGCAGACAGTGCTATGCTGAAGAGAAATAATCATACAGAGCTTCCCCTGAGGAGCATTTAGGTCCGTATCAACAGTCTTTGTAACACGCCTATGAAAGAGGCAGGAGGTTCGTCCTCTCAGCCAGTGTTTCTTAAGTGAGGGAATGGGGCAGATCGTTGGGGAGCTTATGCGTGGTTGGGGAGAGAGTTAGGGTCTCAGGAGAAACAACCGAAGACCCCAGAGGTCCCTGCCGTACTCAGCTGCATTCCGACATCTCCCATGTAGGCTGCAGCCTGAGCCAGTGCAGGGTTTGTCTTTTACAGGAGTGTTTAACTTTTCAGGGGACTGGAATCCATACAGGCCATCCACATCTCTTTCCGCTCGGCTGTGCTTTCCAGCCCAGCTCCCAAAGCCCCACAAGAAATGGCTTGTGCGGTCAGTAGCTGCCAGTGAGTTTAAATTCCAGGCCTCCAGGCAAAGGTTTTAAAAAAGGTCTCTGCTCCAGCTCACCTCTTCCAGAAATGCCCCCTGACCACCCAGCCTCGGGGGTTCCTCCCAGGCAAACCTGGCCTGTTTGCTGGGCGCCAGCACCTCTTCTGACACCTCATTCTCATCTGTGCTCAGTGGAGGGGCTGAAAATAAGGAGGCCTCAAAGTCAGCTCAGTCCCCAATCTTCCGCCACACAGCTGTGCATAACAGACATGATTTTGCTTTTATCATTTGCAGCCTGAATTACTTTCTCCGTAAAGCTGCATGTCCCCATATGTGGCTTATTAACTATTTAAGGAAGCTGATACCAAATCTCCTATACCATTCTCTCCTACTTGTAGAACTAAGACCCATAATACAACAGTAGAAAAGCAAAATTGAGTAAAGAGGAGAAAAAAAGATAGTCAGGTATCAAAATAGAGCAATAGGTAAGAAAATAAAAATAGAACCTCCTAGGGACTTTGCCTCGCGTGTGGTCCAGTCAGGGGTTAGGCCTCCAAGCTTCCACTGCAGGGAGCGTGGGTTCTATGCCTGGTCTTGGTACTAAGATTCCCACAAGCTGCATGACTTGGCCAAAAAAAGAAAAATGAAATAGAACCTTCTACAGAATGGCCTCTTCTCTGCAAGACAGAGACTTTTTTTGGCACAATCTAAAGTGATACAATTTTTATAATCTGCACCATGGGTTTATTTTTCAAGTGCTTAGAGAGGTATCTCTTTAGGAACCCAAACAACTGTTGTGAAATAAACTATCTAGAAAGCAGAAAGCTGGAAAATTAAAACTGAAAATCCTTTGCAATATAATCATTTAGGTTAAACATGGTAACAGTTAATGTCTACTGAGTGCTCAATATACGCCAGGCACTGTGAAAACATCATATGCATTACCTCATTTATTACTCTTAAACACTCAGGGAGTTTTCTCCATTTTACAGATGAGGAAACTGAGTTTCAGAAAGGTTAGGTAACTTGCACAAGGTCACATAACTTGTGCAAGGTTACAGACCAAGGAAGCCACACAGCCTGGGTTTGAATCCAGGTTTATTTGTTTTTTTTTTTCCTGACTGTATGATGGTCACTGGCAGGTTTGGCAAGCTTCTGAAGTGTCTCCTGAACTACCACGTGAAAATTCACTTCTCTTGTGTGTAGCACCGTATTTCAATATCAAGTGTGTTTTATGCTCTGCCATGTCTAAGTTTTGTAGGAAAGAAACCCACCTCGCTGAGGTCGGACTCCTAGTTTCAAGGGATATGGTATCAAATAAAATCGTAAATATGAAAAACCTTTGGAAAATACAAAAGCAATCTACAGAGAAATGAGGATACCATTGCAATTTTAAAATGTCAAGATGTATGTGATATGCACGGTGATTCTCAGTTGCCCAGAATATTTTGAATCAAAACACCTGCTCACCTAACCAATTAGCACACCGGTAACTTGTGAACAAGCTATCTTTTCACCTCCTCGGGCAACCTCCTGCTCTTGCAACTTATTTCTGGGCCACGACCACTTGCTTGCTCAGCGGGGCACGTTTATGTCACGAGCTTCTCTTTAACAGGCACAGAAACGCCTAACGTGCAACAAAGTGTGAAGATGCAGGCGTGTATATATATATGAGTTACAACTGGGTCACCACCAGGTGAGCTGATTTACCGTACCGCCCCGCAGCTCGGGTTTTCAGGATACCCCTTAACAAACCCGCGTTAACTAGCAGGGGGCAGGCGCTGATTAACGGCCCCCTTCCGTGTCTCACCTGATCTTCTAGGAGTTTCCAGCTCTCGCGTGTGTTCGTGGTTTTGAAGCAGCATTAAAGCTGCTCGGGGCAAGAGGATTTAAACCCCCCGGCCCCCAGCAAGAGCTGATGAGAGCTCGTTGCTTTTTCGACCGTGAGGGCTAAGAAGCTTTAATGAAGACAGACCACGCTCTAGAAATAGTGCCATTTCAGGTTTCACAGAAGGGAGTTTGGGAGATCCGCTGGGGCCTTCACCTCCTCTTTCCTCCCTTATTCTACTAAGGAGAACCGAGGTAGCGGGGAAGGACAGTGTAGGCGCTCGAGGGGAGAAGCCAAATATTAGCCTGACCCGGGTCCTTGGAAAGCAACCGAAAACAGGAAGGAAGCTTATTAACCCCTCTGCTCCCCCTCCCTTTTCCCGGGGTGAGAATCGGCTCCTCCTCCCGGGCGTGCGACCCCGGGGTAAAATGTAAGCGGCCGCCTGCTTTCCGCACCCTGCGCGCGGCGCCCGGCGGAGGAAGACGCAGGCGGCAAGGGCGCCACCCCAAGCCGCGTAGAGCGAGTGCGTCTCTCCGGCGTGAACCTCCCCAGCGAGACGGCCTGGACCCCGCGACCGTCGCGCCAACTGGGCACCGCAGGCGCCCCATTTCCCGGCCTCCCTTCGGAGCTGGCACTCTGCACCCTAATCCCTAGCCTAATCCCCCTCAACACCACGGCGCTACCAACCCCGGTGCCTCGCGCAGGTGGCGCAAACGCCCCCGCCCTCGGGCGCCCCCTGCCGGGGAGAGGGAAGGCGGCGGCGGGCGCGGAGGAGCCGGGCGCAGGGCGGGGAGAGAGTTCCGGCGCCGGGAAGAAGCCGGGAGCTTCCCTGATGGTGCCGCCGCCTCCGAGCCGGGGAGGAGCGGCGAGGGGGCAGCTGGGCAAGAGCCTGGGTCCGCTTCTGCTGCTCCTGGCGTTGGGACACACGTGGAGCTACCGAGAGGAGCCCGAGAACGGCGACAGGTAAGCGCTGCCGGTCCCTGCTTGGTGCGCTCTGGCTCTTGGGGTGCAGGCGGTGCCCCTTCAACCCCACAGCGGTGAGCCTCACGCCCTCGCTTCCCCGGGCGCTCAATTGTTCTGGCCGACGTTAAACTCTGCTCCCGGGTGAGACCCTCCGCGCCCTCAGCCCTGGCTCCTCCATCTGTGGGTCGGGGCACCGAGATACCCGTGCGCCGCGTTCCTGCCGCCCTCCAGTGCCCCGCTTCTGCACCTTTTCTTTCCCTTGGGCCTGGGTTCCCTGCGTTGGACCCTCGCCGGGTCCACCCCTGACCCTGGAGTCTGCTTCGCGCCCGCGTTGGGAGAACCAGCTCCTGGTCGCCGCGCGGGACGCGGATACCCAACGCGCGCTGTCCTCCGCTCTGCAGCGGAGAACCAACAGAGTTCCTCCAACTTTTTCCACAGAGAAATCTGCTCGGAAAACAAAATCGTCACGACCACATACCCGTGTCTGAAGCCTTCAGGCGAGCTGACGACGTGCTTCAGGTAAGTCTCGGGGCTCCGCCGAGTCCGTCCGTGCGCGCCCGGGCTGTTCGGGGAGGCGGCGCCGTGCAGGAGGGGCTTGGAGATCCGCTCGGGGACCGGGGTCACGGTGGTGGGTGCTGGGTGAGTGCTCCTTGGTGCAAACGCTTTCTTTTGCGTGTGGTTTCTGCGCCGGAGCAACGATGGGCAACTGAGTGGCGGCGGCACCTAGAGTTCGTGCTCTTAGAACCTGAGGGGAGGTGGTTTACTGCTCCCTCAAATACTTGCGTGATGGTTGGAGGAAACGTTGAAAGTTTCGTAAAGAAAGCGGGTCGGATGGTGGGTGTAAACAGTGTGGCATAGCAAAGGTGAATGGCTGGTTTTGCGTTTTGTTTTATAAAACCTGAAGGCATACAACCAGGAAATCCTTGGTCCTTGGCTATCTTTTGACTTTCTGCCAGGACAGAGTGTAACAGTGTCACGGCCTCTGTGGGCAGGAGGATGGGGGAGGACTGCGGGCATGACTTGGGTTAAGTGAAAGTGGAAAGCGTCAAGATGGTTAAGCCCCAAGCAGAGGATCAGTCTTCCTGTAAATTCAGCTCACAGAGCTTGAGTGCTTGTTAAAGCTAAGCATGAATACGGCTAGGGACTCTATAGTGTGAAAAATGCTGTCAGGTGGTTCTGATTCTCAACAAGGTGAATCACTGTTCCCTGCTTGCAATTTCTGAAGGTGAGGGTTGACTTGTCACCATAGGCTTCTGTGCCAGTGCCCTCATTGGAAGAAGGTACCCACCATAAGTGCTTATGAGTTGCCTGCTTTTTAAAGGTTCTGTGGGAGGTACAGGGATCACACACTCCACTAGACTCCACCTCTTTCTCTGGGAATCGTGCACTGTTTGGGGTGCCAGGCTAACTATTGGGTAGTATAAGATAACATAGCAATCCTCAAAAGTGAACTTGAAAGAGAAGGAAGTTGCACTAATGGTGTGGTAACAGATGAATCCTTTGAGCTGAAAAAAAAAAAAAAAAGTGCTCAAAGGTTCAGGTGTAAGTGGTTACAGGGCTGGTCAGTTTAGGGGTACAAAGGCACCATCAATTACGTCACGTACCATGCTGCTTAAATGAAGCAACAGTCAAGTCTTTGCTTTGGGAAGGGCTCCTTCTCTGCGAAGTGGGTGGTGACACTGAACGAGACATGTGAGTTAGTGGGGAAGAGAGAGTATGGTTCAGTTGGCAGGTGAAGACTTGGAGAGGTTAACTGGGTAAGTAAGGTCACCCATCTGGAGACCTGACCTGGTGCTAGCCCTATGTTTCATCCACACTATTTCTTAGGACACATTTTTTCCCCTGTCACCGCAGCATAAAACCTCTAATCTAACATGGAACGTATCCCTGAGATGGTTTGCTTATTTATTTGGTCCCTGAAGGTCAGACTGCACATAAGTCAGTGACAGTTACAGAATGCATGTCCGATTTTCAGAAACCATTGGTGCCTGATTAGTGTTGTAAGCTGATTTCATTCGTTAAGCTGTTGTTACGCTGTTCCTTTTTTTTTAAACAGAATTTAAAAACTGGTGATTTTCTGCACTAAGCCTCTGTAGGAGACATTAGCAGTGTCTTGATATGTTTTCATTAACAGCTACTCAAAGAAACAGCTTAGAGAGCTAACAAAAAGGACATCTTATTTCTAGGAGAAAAGAGCTTAGAGGAGTGGGAGGATGTTTTTAGCTGAAGAAAATGGTAATGGTCCCTGTGAATGTTTCTTTGGTTTTCCTTTAAAAGTTCTATGTGTACTTCATTGGTTTTATACAATTGCTATAGTTTAGTACCTTCCTAAAGACAGTTAGTTGGCAGTTGCTCCCCCCATTTTGAGCCGCAAGAATGGAGGAACGCTGTGTGTTCTTCGGTTTGTGAATTCCGATTGTCCTGGCCCTGTAGACCCTTGCTACTCCCGGTGTGGTCTGGCACAGGCATCTTCTGGGAGCTTGTATTGTCTCAGGCCCCTGCCCAGAACTCCTGAATCAGAACTTGCATGTTAATGAGATAGGGATTAAGGCTTGAAGCGCTGCTATAGAAACCTGTGTCCTTACCCGAGTCATGGTGCGGACCTGTTTGGACAGATCCTCAGGAGCTCAGAGGCCCCTGCAGATGAGTTAGCCCTTCTACCACAGTAACTTAAAGTCAAAGAGCCAGCCTTCCAGGAAATTGGACTCGTGGACTGTTGGATGACCCTTAATTAAAGGGAAAGTAACGTAGCAGAGCTACTACTGTTTTGGGAATGCTTTCTGACTGCCTAGAATCCCACTCTTAGCAGATGTCTCTGGTGAATGGCTTTTTGCTGAAGAGAATGCATACCGGAAGTCACTCCTGAATTTAGAAGGTGGTCTTTTAACACTGGCTTTCGGAAAATCCATTGACATGGAGGTATAGTAGATGTAACATCTGATTTGCCATTATTCCTAAAAGTCATATGGAGACTGAGGTGATATGGAAAAGAGATGGGGTCAGAATACTCTGCCCTGGACCCCACCACGCTTGTATGCTTCTGTTTTCTGTGGTTTTATGTAAGCAACACCTTTCCACTTAAGCCTTATATTAAATGACAGTTGGAGGATTTACTATACATTCACCAGTGTCCTATGCACTTTATGTACATACAGCTGTAATCCTCAAAGCCACTCTGTAGCATGTGTGTTGCCTCAGTTTTACAGAGAACCGAAGCTCGGATTAAGTCCACTTGCCCAGGGTCACAAAGTTAATACATGGGAGACTCGAGGTTCAGACTCAGGTTTGTCTGACTTCAAAGTCTGGGCCCTTTCATCATCCTGGTGGTGTCTACAGATGTGGCTCAACTTTCCAAATCTGGCATCTAAGTAAGGAAGACAACTATACATTTAGATGCTATAAACTCGAAAGAAGCAGATTAACTCTAGCAGCCACTGTGACCACAGTGGTTTTCTGAGTTACCATCGCTCTTGATCTCAAACAATTGAGCTTACATTACCGTGTTATACACGACGTTGGTTCCTACATGTATAGCTTTCCGTCCTTGTAGGATTTCATCGTAATCACAGGGTCTGTCTCTAGGGACTCTACCCCAGTGTGCATTGAGCCAAGTCCCCAAAGCTGATGAAACACTGAGCGAACGCCTTTGGCAGCTTAAGCTTAGAGGGCATGTTTGCTCAGTGTTACACTCTGACATGGAGCATATTATTTTACCAGTAGTTAAGATTTCAGAGTGTGTGTGATTTATCTAGACTCTAAATTTATCCTAGCCAAAGCAAGCCCATAAAGTTAACAATGGCATTTACCCCTCTTGCGGCTATTAAAGTTCTTCCTACAAGTTAACTTTTTTCCTCCTTTCCCAGACGATGTAGTTTTTGAACAAAAGGTTTGTGTTTACCTTTTCTTTATGGGGGTTTCATCAAGAAAATGATAGTCTTTTTAAAAATAAGAACCTGAGTGTAGGAAGCATCAAGAAATCAACTTGTATCGAGTGAGCCTGTGTCCAATAAACATGCTAATTAACTCTTTGGATCCGTTAATCAGTTAAGGACTTGAGCATCTATTATGAGCTTAACATAGTCCTAGAAAATGCTTGAGCGTAGTCCCTGGTCACGTTTTACAGACTTGCGTTTTAGACCGAGGCCTCTACGACTGTAACCAGTATACAATGTATATGAGTTCAAAATTGTGTAGTTTATACTACGATGGGGAAGAGATTAGAAGCAGCTAGGAATGGCTTTATGGGCAAGAGAAGACTTGATTGTCCTTCAACGTGGTTCTTTAACAGAATGTTCGGTGTTTGTTGCATTAGCTGTGATCATCAGCTTTGTGGTTCACAGACCTACAGGTAGAGGCTCTCAGCTCTATTTGTCCCATCAGTGCTGTCTCATGAGGGTAATGTTCCCATGGGAAATAATGACATGGGGATGCAAAAACTCAGGATTTGGCAGCACTGTTGCATTATCTCATTTAAAGTATGGAAGTTAACATATTTCTGCAAATATGTTTACTTGGAAATTAGCAAGAAGATCGCTTAGTTAGGGCAGCACCACCAGAGGGAGAGCCCTGGACTTTAGCTAAGTCTCCATTGGAGGAAGGGCTGGAGAATGTGCTATCTGGCAGGTTCCTGAGTCCCTACACAGAGCTTTGATGTCAAAACATCCATAGTAGAAACTCTTCCCCAGTTTGAATTCCAGCTCTACTGTTTCTGTGACCTTGAACATTTCTCAATCTGTATTCTAGTGTTCTCCTTTAAGTAAATGAGGATCACGTTAGGACTGCAGTTATAGGGTTATAGTGAAGATGTAAATGAGTTGATATACATAGGAAGGGCTCAGTGAATGCTGCCTCTCAGGCTCGCTGCTGTGTCTCCCCAAGTCTGGCGTGAGTGCGCAAGCTGGGTGCTCAGTAGACATCTGCTGAGTTTTGAGCTTTACAGTAGACATTTTTGAAAGAGCAAATTCAGACCCTAGCCAGAAACCCTGAGGGTGTTTATAGCAGTCACACGTCAGCTGTTTTTAGTTGCCTCTCCAATTGTAGGGTGGCCCAGAAATCGAGTGCCTTGGGAAAATTATCAATACAAAAAGGATATCTTTTGCTTCCTGCCTCCTACCTGACTACACAATGTCCTCTATTCACCTAAGTATAAAAGCAGGCAGAAGGCATAGTTACCCCATTTTAGAGGCTCTTAAGAGATTGGCCCCTTGTCCAGGGTTATGAAGGGTTTTATTGGCAGAGACAAGACTAGCGATTAGGTCCTCAGCCCAGTTCTGGTCCTTCCCTTCTCCCTCCCCTTTCTGTGGCTAGCATAGCTTAGAACCTGCTCTGAGGGCAGTTCTGAATTACTGTTGGCTTATTCAGGGCTTGTGGGCCCCCTTTAAGAAAGCATTTGTATCTTCATGACTACTGTCCATATTCTAACCATAAGGAGGAAGTTGTCCAAATGTTAAGAACAGAGCAGGGGACGGCTGGGGGTGGCTTCGTGCAAAACTGCCTGAATCACAGATAAGTTGGAGGCA